GTGGGAGTCTGCTGTTCCTGCTGGTCTCTCTCTCTTTAAAGATTGAGAGAGAGATTCTCCATATGCTGATTCACTTTCCAGATGGCAACAACATTCGGAGATGGACCAGCCAGAAGTCGGGAGCCAGGACCCTCTTCCAGGTCTCCCACATGGGTGCAGAAACTCAAAGACATAGGCCATCCTCCGCTGATTTCCCAGGCACATTAGCAAGGACCTAGATGGGAAGTGGAGCAGCCGGGACCTGAACTGGAGCCTGTATGGGGTACTGGTATTGCCCACTTGGCCACAGCACTGGCCCCAGAGCTGGCCTCTTTTATGGTGTTTTTCCTTCTCCCTCTTCCCGTCATTTGTGACATGCCCTGCTTCACGTGGTAGCGCTGGTCTTTGGACTGGCCTCTTTCCGTTCACGAGTTCAGAGAGGGGTTCGTGGCTTGACTCTACCCTGATTGGAGTCAGGGTGACTTGCTGAAGTCAATGGACTCTAGGAGAGAGTTATTCATTCCTCCCGGACAGGTAAGGGGCTGACTGCAACTCAGTCCCATGGCCACGCCTAGCTGTGGACTGAGCAGGTGGCACGGTGGCCATCTGGGAGCTGTAACTGGGGGTATATAAAGAGAGAATGTTGGGCAGCCCAGCTGCATCAGGTTCCAAGCGAGGACCTGGGGTGCAGGACAAGCCGGCGACAGCGGGAGGCAGCTCCGAGGCTTCCCATCACCAAGGCACCATGTTTCTTAGGAAGTCACGGTGGTGGCGCTTGCCCGCTCACCTCCTCCCCCTGCTGCGATGTGTTTAATCAGGGCCTCTGGGTCCTTTTTCATGACGGAGAGAGGACTCATAGAGTTCAGTAAGGAAAACGTGGCTCCACTGTGTTCCGTGCACTCCCTTCAGCTCCCAAGAATCCCCGTGGAAAACAGTGGAACAGCCGCCAAACATGCGTGTTGCACTTGGCAGCCAAGCCAGGTTTCTTTGGACCTGCCTGGTTCCCATTACAGCTGGAATTCTCCACAAACACTCAATTTGAGGTCACCATGGAGCTACTATGCAAATTGTTTTACTGTAACGAGGAGAAGCTTCGCCCGGCTACCAAGTTGCAAACTCGGAAAATGCCTCTTGGGGAGTTTGGCAGTGGCAGTAACTGCAGACACACTGCATTTGTAGCAACTTATGTCTCTCGCTCTCTGTGAGCTCACACACATACAGGAAGACTCCAACAAGAAGCAAGTTGCTCGCAAAATTCTCCTTCTTCATAACCACTGGGGGTAATTTGCTCTCTGTGTGAGCTGACTTTTCCACAGGAGAACTGGGTGTACAAATGGGTTCCTATCATGGTGTGCCACCCAACGACCATATCAATTCTTCTTCATTATGTACAAGCTGCCAGCCCGAACACACTGAAATGAATGCAGGCAGACGGCTCTGACACCAAACCCGGCTCAAATTTTAAATACAACGTGCTTCCCATAAAGGGTTAGAATCTTACCTATTGGACTGCAGTGCACGGCTTGGCATGGAAGTGCCCTTGCTCCAGGGGGTTGGATTAGCTTCCACAGTGGATCATCTTACACAAAATGGCACGCTACAGTCGTTGGCATTTATAGTTCTGAAGGCAAGCATGTGCGTGCTTGATGCTGTTCCCAGCAGTTGGAACGGCAGCTCTGGGGCTCCACTCACGTGCACTCAAGTCAGACAAACAACCCCACATTGGGGATTTGAGAAGCAATACAGAACCAGTCCTCAGCCAGGTTCCTAGGCTGTTTCCCCATCAACCTCTGATCCCACAGGCCATTGGCCCCAGGATCCACCTTGGATGCCAAATCCCGGAGCATCCTGCTCAGCCATCTACCCACATCCTCCTATAGACCTTAAATCATCCATCAAATATTCATAATGCAGTAAATACTTATACAATATTTAAACACATACATGTATTTATTATTTACATATGTAGAAATACCTGAATAAATACAATGGAAATGCTAAGTGAATCCTGTTGCACTGTCCCATTCAGTGAATCATGACCAAAAAAACTGCACACGAAGCAATTCTTTCCAAATGTTTTCTAACTGCAGTGGGTGAACACAACAGGTGCAGAGCCCACTGGCGTGGAATGTCAAGTGGACTTTATTATTTCACGCACAGAGTTAGAAGATAAAACTTGACCAGTGTGGGAACAAGGTGGGAAGGCCAGGCCTGCAGCAACTGCATAAGGAACACAGCAGACCCCAAGTTCGGCCCTTGTTCCCGGAGACCGCGTGGGACTCAGCTCTGTGTAGTGCCTAGGAGAGGAGCACGTGCCGTCACCACAGTGCTCCCTGACTGTGTCAGCAGCACCCCGCCAATGCGTCACTCACTAAGGGTGGTGGCTGGATTTCTGGAAGGTTCCACTGCAGCTGCCTGCGGAGACTGGAGATGGGTTAGGGAGGACACTGCTTTGTCATTCTTTCCCCCGCCCTGCAGGGAACCTTCCAGAAAGGCAGACCAGCACAGGTGGCCAGGGGACACAAGGGGCCAGAAGCCTCCTGGAGGAGGAGGGAGCTCTCAGCTGCCTTCCTGGACGGTCTGCTACGCACTACACACGTCCAGCAGCCTCTCGGGCTCAGTTGCCCCAGAGTGCCTGGGTTTCTTTCTAGAATTCTGTGTGGGTGGAGGTAAGAAGTGAGGCTCAAACATACGTGTTTGAGAGGTTGAGTTACAGGGAGAAAGCAAGTCAGGGAGGAAGGTCTTCCACCCTCTGGTTTACTCCCCAAACGTCACAGCAGTCAGTGTTGAGCTGATCCAAAGTCAGGAGCCAGGAGCTTTTTCTGGCTCTGGCACATGAGTGCAGGGTCCCAAGGCCACGGGCCATCCTCTGATGCTTTCCCAGGCCAGAAGCAGGGAGCGGATGGGAAGTGGAGCAGTCAGGGCGTGAACCGGTGCCCATAGGGGAAGCTGGCACCACAGGTGGAGGTTTGGCTCTCTGTCCCACAGCAGGTACACCTTGCTTTTCATTTGCATCCATGTTTGCCACAGAGGTACTTCCAAAAATGTGCAGAAAATGGAATTAAACAGTAAGTTAATTTTGGTGCAAAACATTTGGAAATCCATGCGTATGAAGGTTTATGGAAACGGCACACACATTTCAAAATCTTATTGGATTAAAATAGGCTCAGGTTTTAGTTCTACCAGGATGGCCACAGATCTCAGGCACCAGGGTTGCCAGCAGCAGCAGAAACAGCCCACGAGGTCTGTTTTGATGTGTGATGTATTTAACTTCGGCTTTAAACCTTAAGTCCGCCGGTCCCGCGGTTTGATTCGGACTTAGCCTCTGGGTGCCTCGGTTTCCCTCAGTGCTGCAGTGGTGGAGGGAACCAGTTGTCGTGAGGACAGAAGCCACCTCACACATTGTGGGGTGTGAGAGGGAGAGGGGATACCAGGGGTCAGTACCCTGATGTGCCCCTCACTGACCACATGCACCTCACAGGGAGTCCTCCCTCCCCCCGCTCTGGCAGAGGATACAGACAACCTGCTCTCAGCCTGTGGGCTCTTGGCACAGCTGTCCTCACTTCCTCCCGGCCCCGCCTGCTAGGGTTGACCCGCTACATCTCCGGGTGGGTTCTGTAACCGCGGTGACCAGCCCAGCTTTAAGTTTGCAATTCGCTGCAACAGAGGAGAAAGGGGAAGGCCAGTGGACACGACAGCCCCCCTAGGGCCCCGACCCCTGTGCCAGCAGCCTCTGGGATTAGGGCCCGTGGCTCCCGCAGCCTTGCCCCACCTGCAGGTTGTTGGCCACAGGGACTGTGGGTTTCAGCTGATCCGGCAACCCACTTCCACATCCGTGAGGGCTCAGACCAGGGTCTCATTCTGCAGCCGGAGGTATCCCCACTGGCTCCTGGTGCACAGGGGAGCGACAGAGCAGGCCACACGCGGGGCAAGCACAGGACAAGTCCACAGAGCTCTTGGCTAAGGGTAACAGAGGTACAAAGCTCTAGGATTTGAAAGTGGGAAGAACGGAAGCCAGGGGAGGGTGAGTTGGGTGGTAAGGGGCGGGGGGGCCTAGGCAGAGGCCGACCTGGCCCAGGCCACTGTGCCCCTGCCTGTGGGCAGAAGGAGAGGTAAGGCTGTGGACCCGCCAAATACTTCCTGCCAGGCCAGTCTTGCGCGCCCCTCCAGCTCCCCGGGCGCGCGGGAAGCCTCGGAGAAGCGCCATTTCCCGCGGGGCGCCCAGCAGAGGGCAGGCTGGCGGCGCGAACGCTTCCTCGGCGCCGCGCCCGGGGGCATCCCCTGAGATTGGGGCGCCTCTGCCCGACCCGGGCCCCGCACGTCCAGCTGGGACGCTGCTCCCGGCGAGAACGGCGAAGCGGTCAGACGAGGTCCCAGAGGGCTCGGCCTGCACGTTGACTTCACCAGAGAAAAAAGAAAAGGGGAAAAAAAGCTCAGAGAGTTTCGGGGACCCGTGGACCCCACTACCACACCCCCGCCCTCACTGGAGCGCCCGGGATCCCCTCCGCAGCCCGGCTCACTCGGGACCTACTGGCTCTCTGATCGGCAATCAACTCCGCTGTGTGATTGGAGGACAAAGGCTTCCGCCCGCCGGGTCGTGGAAAAGGGGGCGTGGGGTGGCGCCTGAGCCGCACTCGGCCGGGCCCCGCATGCCGTGGGCGCCCCAGAGTCGCTTCCTAACCAGAGAGACCGTCCTGGCCGACCGACGCCCGGACCGGTCCCGCGCTCGGCTCGGGCGCCGGAGGCTGAGCCCCAAGGGCCGAGCGCCGCGCCCCCTTCTCCAGGCCGCCCCTCGGGGCTGCGCGCGCCCGCCCGCGCCCCCTCCGCGCAGTCCGCGCCGGTTCGCTCGCTCCTTCCCCGCCTCGCCCGCGCGCCTCCCGCCTCAGCCGGCTGCGGCCAGCGGGGAGTGCGGAACGGCGGCCCCGGCCCCGAGAGGCCCCGGGCGGCTGCGGCGACGAGGGGGCGCGGCGGCGCGGTCCCGCCCTGCGTGGCGAAGCTCGGCGCTCCCGGCGCGGCCCGAGCCCGCAGCCCGCGGCCGGGCATGTAGCGGCGGCGGCGGCGGAATATGGGCGGGAACCACTCCCACAGGCCCCCGGTGTTTGACGAGAATGAGGAAGGTAAGAGGGCGGTGGGCGCCCGCCGCTCCCGGCACGCGGCGCGGGGCTGCTCTCCGGCCCCTCGGGCGTCTCGGGGCGGGAGTCCCGGGGGTGGCCCGGGCCGGCGGACCCCCGGGGCTGGGGCCAAGCGGGAGTGGGCCCGCAAGGCCAGGGGTGGGCGGGGTGCGCCGAGGACGCGCGTGGGGCCCCGGGCACGTTCGGCTCAGTGCACGGGCGGGGTGCGCCCGGGCGCTCCTCGCCGTCCCGGGACCCGCCTGGGCAAAGTTGGCGAAGTCATGAGGACGCGCCGAGGTGAAGGAGGCTGGCCGGCCTTTCACGGGCTCGCGCGGTGGGAGTCCCTGTTGTCCCCAGGATGTGCCTGGATCTGGACGAGCGGAGCTCGGTGGTCACCGCTGCGCATCCAGGACGCCGTCCTTGACCTCTCCCGCCCCGCCCCCCTCCTACCTGTAGGGTGGCCTGTGGCTTAACCACTGTGAGACCCAGGCAGCCCAGGGCTGTACACGTGTTGTCCGCTGGACAGCCGCCCTCTGCGCTGCCCCCAGCAGAGCCTCTGTGCCCCAAGCCGTGCTCCGCCTCAGGCGCGGTCCTCGCAGACTCGGGGTGGGGGCTTTGGTGATGGTGGTGGTGGTGTGTGTGTACTTCTGTCGTCCCCATTTTACACTTGAAGAAGGGGACCCACTTTGGTGCCAGCAAGCCAGCAGGCAGGCAGAGCGGCCTTGCATGCTGTGCAGGTCACTGCCCGTGCGGTAGGGAGGGCACCCAGGCTTGTGCGCAGAGCCCCCCAAGGCTGAGATGCCACCCGGACGACTGTCAGGACGACCCCCTGTGGAGTGATTGAAGAGGGTGTGGAGTGGTCTCTGGCCAGTGCAGCCCCTCCCAACAGGACGCGCCACTCCAGTAGCCCTTTGGGTGGGGAGGGGCTGGCAGGGAGAGCTCACTGGGGTGGCCCTGGTGCCCGGACAGGAGAGCCAGGCTTTGAGGCTCTTGTGCGTCCCCGCGTGGGGCCACGGGAGAGGTGTGCGTCCAGCGTTGGGCCGCGGGTGAGCACGGTTCTGGCCTGGGTCACAATCATGAGTCTGCTTTGAGCTGAGCTGGTTTTTCTCTTCCCTCTTTTGTTATCCTTTTATGAGCAGAGGAAACGCAGCAGCCTGGGAGGAAGAGTGGTTTGTCCTTTCTCGCAGGAAAGCACACTTGTGACTGTGTATTGGCACCGCTGGGCACTCTGGGGGTCGCCAGCCTTAGGTGTCTGTGCCTGTGGCACCTCATTCCGTACGTGGCTGGGGTTGGGGTTAACTGCCCATTGCAACGCTCATGGAAACACCCGGTGAGGGCACTGCAGCCCAGTGAAACATTTACCTGGTGGCTTTGGCCGGCCTTCTGCTCACCTGCTCCCCTGTGTAGGAAAAGCATGCTGTGTGCTGCCCACCCAGCTGCTCACTCATCCCAGCGCCTGCTCCTGTTCCAGGACACCAGGGACATGGGGCAGAGGGAGGGTTCCTAACCCCGAGGGGGGCAGTCTTGGGGGGCGGTCAGAGCACATTCTCTTGAGACCCGAGTCTTGCAGATGTGGCCGGGGATGCCCAGGGAGAAGGAGGTTTGGAGGGAGGCAGATGAGGAGAAAACCTTACTGCTTTTGTGGCACGGGGAGCCGGCCCTCGGCAGGCACACAGACAGCTGGAAGGCACGTGAGGTGGCCCTGGAGTGCCCACCCTGACTCAGGGCCCAGTGGCCACACAGGTGTACGGGCTTGAGCTGAAGGAGTGTGGTGACAGAGGAATGATGCGGTCCCGTGAGCACCTGCATGCTGGCCTCTGCTCGTGGGTTTCATCTGGGCAAAGGTGCAGATGCCCACCTGGCCAGGACAAGGGTGGCTTCAGCATGTGGATGCCGACGTTGGTCCCTGCGCACTTGGGCCGTGACCACTTCTTGTTCCTACTGCGTTGGATCCCAGCTGATCAGCTGGCAACATTTCTTTCTCCCTACTGGTGTTTGACACAGTGGTGTTTGGCTATGGCAGGCCTGCTGTGCGAACGGGGCTGTGGCTGTTCAGGGCCCAGTTGTGCACGGGAGAGACACAGCTCTGAGCACTGCTAGGGGAATTCCTTGGGCTCTGGCCACTTCTCAGGACTTCTGTCACGACTATCTTCCTCCAAGCTATGGTCACAACTCCACCTCTTTAACTGCTCTCCCTGGTCTGCCCTTACTTCCTGCACTGTCAGAGCCAGGGTGAGCCTGGGAAACACTGTATCAGGCCAGGGGTCCTCTGCTTCATGCACTGCCTTCACCTGACCCCAGGGCAAATTGCATCAGGGAGAGACAGAGAGAACCAGCCAAACCCGACCTCCTGGGCCCACATTCCCCCTTCACTCTCAGCCCACCTGCCTCTGCAGTTGCCCAGGTGTTCCCAGAACCCTCACACCTGCCTCTCTTGCCTGCTGCCTTGTCCCATAGACCTCTCCCTCGCTGCTCTAGGGTCTCTGTGAAAACACAGCAACCTTCCTGTGGCCTTTGCTGACCACCCTGGACGCCCACCTCTCCTACCTGCTCCGTGGTCCTTCACAGTGGCCTCCAGTCATCCTCCTTGCCTGTTTTGCTGGTAACTCTCTCTATTCAGCGGCGAGCTCCAGGGAAGCAGGGATCTCGTGTGACCGATTCACCACCACACTCCCAAACTGTGAACACACTTGGCACACAACGGGCGGCCGGTGAAGTTTGGGAGATTGAATGAGTGCGTGAGTCAGCCTCGGGGGCTGCAGGTGCAACCAGGCTGCTCGGACACCTTCCTTCTTGTGTTCCGTTCCTGCCTTGGAGTGGCTTTTTGCCCCGGCAGGCCCTGTCCTTAGCTCTCACCTCTGTCAGCTCAGTCTCACAATCCCAGGTTCTCCAAGAGGACATCCGAGGGCTAGTTCTGGTGGCCATTCTTGACCCAATGTCTGTGACCAGGGAGAGAGGAGGTTCTTACCGGGCCTGGCCAGGTTGCATGCAGTGGTGTTAGCGCCCTTTGAGGTGTTGGGACTAAGCTTGGAGGCAAAGAATTTTCCCAACAAGGACTGGAGACTGACAAAACAAGGGCGAGTGGGTGCTGGGTGGGCAGCCGTGCTCCCCAGCTCCCGTGGGGACCCTGCAGGGCTCTGGCTCCTCTCACCAGGTGGTCCGGCTGCACATCCCCCTTCTGCACCGGGCAGCGACCTTAGAGGCAGCGGTGTCTTTTTCCTCACCGTTGTATCTGCAGGAGCCTAGATCAGGGCACCTGGGGAAAAACTCCACACAGCAGAAAGGTGAGTCACTTCTGGGGGCACATTTCTCACCTTCCTTTGGGTTCTGAAGCTGTTGAAACACAAACAGAAGTTTCAGATGAAAAAACTTATTGAAATAGCAGAATTAAAGAGAGACAGAGACAGAGGTGTGCTGTCTGTCTCCTGATTTGTTCCCAAGTGGCTCCCACAGTTGGGGTTGTTGGTACGGGCTGAAGCCAGGAGCCCGGAGCAACGTCTGAGTCTGCCATGGAGGTGGTAGCAGCCCAAGTACTTGGGCCATCTGCTGCCGCTGTGCCAGGGGACTGGATCAGAAGCAGAGCACACAGGATGCCAGAGTCACAGGTGGCCGCTTACCTCACTGCGCTGCCATGCTAGCCACAGAAATTGTGGGTTTGTTACCCGTAAGGTTGGTTTGGAGAGCTCGCCTTGCATCTGCGGTTAGAATAACCTTCCCTTGGCAGTCCCTCAAGTTCAACTCTGACGCTTGCTGGAGTAGAACATGGGGTCTTGTGGCACAGACCCAGCCCTGCAGCAGTTTTAGCGGCTCCAGATCACGGGGCACAGAGCCCTGGGAGAAGTTCCCGCTAAGAGGTGGGGACTCATGACTGGCGGCCTGTGAAGACTGGCACCTGTCTGACTTGCATGCCTTTCTTAGGATGTCTCTTCTCAGTGAGAGAAAAAACAGAGCTTTGGGTACTGCTTTCTGGGTACGACAAAGGGGTGGGCTGGTGGGAAGATGGAGGCGGATTCATAGTGTCGAGGGAAGGGCTTAGATGCCGGTGGAGACTAAGGATCTGGATTTTAGGAGATTGGACAACCTGAGCTGGCACTGCACTTAGGCGTTCGGGGGGACAAGTCCTCCGAGCAGCACACAGTGCGGGAACATCAGGGCTTCGGGCAGTCTCAGAGAGGGACGGAGAGATGGTTCTGCAGAGAGCGCTGGGAGGATGTCCAAGCCGGGCAGTGGGGCGGACAGGCAGGTGCCCCAGAGCAGAGCCAGCGGGCTGACCTGACCAGAGAGAAGCCTGGGTTAGACCGTGAGTGTCAGCCAGAGCCGGCCCAGGGGGACCTGAGACCAGTGCTGCTATTACTCTCAGCTCATCCTGCTCCAGTTTTGGTGTTTGGGGACCTTGCAATGTCTTTATTCCTGATGACTTTGGCCCGGGATTGTCACCCGGAAGTACTCCATCTGTGAAGTCATGCTCTAAGAAGGTTTTGAAAAATTTCATGGAAAATACACCATGTGAAAAAAAAAGTATGTATGGGCTTTTCATTGTCAAAGCCTTGTACTCTTTTTCATCTTATTTGAAAGTCAGAAGAGAGAGAGAAAATGCTTTCTGGTACCCACTGATTACTCTCCAAATGCCCGAAACAGCCAGGGCTGAGCCAGGCTGAAGCCAGGGATCCCAAACTTGATCTGGGGTCCCCTGTATGTGTGTTTGGGGCCAAAGCATGTGAGCCGCCACCTGCTGTCGCCAAGGTGGCCACTGTGTGGGAGCAGAGCCACCACCTGCTGTCGCCAAGGTGGCCACTGTGTGGGAGCAGAGGCGGGACCTGAACCAGGCGCTCCAGTGTGGCATGTGGATATGTGGAGCAGAGGTAAATGCCATCCCCTCTTTTTTTTATTTGTACAAAATAAATCCATCTTTTGATTTTATTTTCCGTGGACTTTCCGAAATGCGCCTGTGTACATGTCCCGTCCTCTCCTGTGGGACGTGGCCACTGTTCAGGGATTCCCTGTTC